TCCTTATGAAATTTGGTAGGTTGGATTGATTGGCCAAATATAAAACCCATAGAAAATCCCAACTTCCTAACTTTACAAACACGAAAGTTATGGCATTTCCGATCAATCAGTTATATGGCAGCTATAGGATATAGTCGGCCGATCCCGGCCGTTCCGACTTATATACTGCGTGCAAAGGAAAGAAGGGTGTGTGCAAAGTTTCAATCCGATAGCTTTAAAACTGAGAGACTAGTTTGCGTAGAAACAGACAGACGGACAGACGGACAGACGGACAGACGGACAGACGGACATGGCTATATCAACTCAGGAGGTGATCCTGATCAAGAATATATATACTTTATAGGGTCGGAGATGTCTCCTTCACTGCGTTGCACACTTTTGACCAAAATTATAATACCCTCTGCAAGGGTATAACAAGAGTGGACCAACATAAAACACAAATTACAAGAACTAAGGCAAATAAACGACAACACAGCCTCAAAGGCCAATAGCCGCAGTGATTGTTCGGCACTGTGCCTGCTGCCCCAGCACCCCATTTTGATTACCGCTCCACTCGGTTGGCTGCCAGGACATGCCAGGACATGCCAGGACCTGCAGCCCAGCCCAGCGTGAAAAAGTCGTGCATACTTTTAGTTGCAGCCCGTAAGCGTGTGAAAAAAGCCAGCACGCACAACAACGAGCACAAACACACGGACATAGACAACCAGAAATGGCTGCGAATAAAAGGGAATTGACATAGAAGGCAGAGCCCTCGAAGGGCGAAACATTTTTGCAGTCCATGGAGAAATGGTTGAAAAATTGTCAAACAATTGCCTGCACATCAGCGGCAATTTCAGCTGAAACAAGAAAGGAAATGGCAAGCCGTATCTTAAATACCCTTACAGCTGTTATAAATATTAAAATATATATTCCATATTTTGATTGCGATGGTTAAAAGCAATAAAATTAGGTCGATTTTCCGATAAAGTTTTTGAACTATGATATAGAAGTAAAACGGTAGTTCTGGAATCGGTAAAATTTATTACATCTCGTATATATTTATACGTTAAGAAATAAAGAAATAAAAATAAAATAAGAGTTATTGCAAAGCTTCATCCAAATAGCTTTAAAACTGAGGAACAGGGAAAAACGGACATGGCTAAGTCGTCTAGCTATATATATGTACTTTATAGGGTCGCAAACTGTATACTGAATGGTGTAAACATTTGTAAATTGACACGGAATGCAGGGAGCAATAATTCTTTGAAATCATGCGAAAATTAAATTTGACTTAAGCGAAAACTAGATACACTGTGATATACCCCCTACTTACTGCCATACTTACTGATACATAATACCATTATTTAAATATACCGCTTAACTGTTCAGTCCTTTATCACTTTAAATAAAAGCATCACTATTGTATGGATATGTTTTAGGATTGTTTTTTAAATTATTTATTTAAATTCTTATTTTCTGCACACAATGTCAGAAGGAGAAGATAAACAAAACAATATTTAATAGTAGGGATTTCTGTAATGTTAATTTTTGTAATAAACATAACAGTAGTGATGGCATATTAACAAACATTTACGGTAGTTTTCAAAAATATATTATATATACATGTATGGTTTTGCAACAACACATTTTTACCTATTTTCTAGTTGGTTTTTTGGTTTGACGATTGAAATAAGAACTGGGCGTTACAGGAGACACATGTCCAATTATATGGGCCAAGGTTTTGCAGACGAATATAATCACAACGATGTGTATACCGTGCAAGGACCCTGACTTGCTCGCTTATAAATGTAAAATAATTGAAGTCAGTTATTTGAAAGGCATATCCCTGTAACTTATTTATATTCTTGACAAACATTACCAAGTTACTGATTGGTTCGGCTACCATAAGGATGTGCAATTCCATTAATAAATCGAAAATGTTCAGTGTTCCCAAAAAAGTACACTAACAAAACCATATGCTAATACCCGACATTCAAACGAGAATCGTTTCACGTAAAAACCCTTTTCGAGAAACTCATGAAATAGTTGGTCATCAACTCAAGTCATAAACCCAGAAACTGACGACCCAAAGTGCCATCAATCACAATGTCAATCACTTTTTGTCATAAGTAGATACTAGCACGAGCACAAACATCTCACATTCGCCGAGGGTATTCTCTCCCTATTTTCAGAGGTTGAACATTGTGTGCAATGTCAACGTTTGTCCACTTGTTGAGCCGCCTGGCGCAGGATTCGGCTTGTTGCCCACAAGCCATAGACAAAGAAACTTAAGTGGTCACTTGTGTGTCTGAGCTTGGGGGAGGCGGGGGTCCGGGGCGGGGAGGAAGCGTGTGTCAGGTCAGGAGCCAGCCGGAATACGCATACGCCATGTGAGCCCCTTAATTATGCTGTGGGCTCTGGGCGGACAATGACAACTTAAACAGCCACTAAAGCCAACCAAGCACGTGCTTCTGGCTCCTTCCCCTTCTCCCTCCCCCGCAGCGTTTATCCTGCCCCAATGTGTGCCCAATGAGCCAAGCTGTTTTTTAGGCCCGGTCAGACTGCCAGTCACATAATTCACTTGGAATGACATCCCGATAGCTTTGGCGAGGGTGCAGAGTTTAAGCCACTCAAAACTTTTTGTTGCCACTTGGCAAAGGCGTCAAAGTTGACCTTGTGACCGGCACACAGCAGACAAAGCAAATGGAAAGTGCTGGATCCCAGTTCGATAACAACGATCAGAAAAACTAAGGAAGGAGGATGACAAATCTATTCGCTGGTGAGCTCGTTCGAACTTTGACGAGATTGTCGTGTTGCCCAAAATTGGAAAAGGAAGTGCTGCTAACCCAGGTAATCCATAAGTGTAGATGTTGTTAGTCACATTAGATAAAGCCTCATTGGACTCAACAAAGTTAACATTTTCGAATATTTTTATACTTTCTCGTTACGACTTTCTTATATCGAAAATCGGCATTTTTGTTCAGGAGTTTTTTTTAGAGCTTCAATCAAAATTATAATTGTAACTTTTAGTTTATAGATTTAGTTAGTTATACCCATTACTCGTAGAGTAAAAGGGTATATTGTATTCGTGCAAAAGTATGTAACAGCTAGAAGGAAGCGTTTCCGACCCTATAAAGTATATATATTCTTGATCAGGATCACTAGCCGAGTCGATATAGCCATGTCCGTCTGTCCGTCTGTCTGTTCGTCTGTCTGTCCGTCTGTCTGTCTGTCTGTCCGTATGAACGCTGAGATCTCGGAAACTATAAAAGCTAGAAGATTGGCATTTTGCATGCAGATTCTAGGAGTTCCTACGCAGCGCAAGTTTGTTTCAAAAAGGTGCCACGCCCCCTTTAACGCCCACAATCGCTTACATACGATTTTAAAAATTTAAATATTTCGGAAAAGTAAAAATGCAGTTTTATTGTCTTTATCAATACCTATCGAAATGTAGAATAAATTTTTCAAATTGGACCATTCGTTAAAAAGTTATGCGTGATCAAAGTTTCTATCTCCATCTCCCTCGCACTCCCTTTACGGGTATCTGATAGTCGGGGCACCCGACTATAGCGTTCTCTCTTGTTTTTACTAAAATGTGTAAAATGTCAAAAGTTGATGAATCATAAGAACTACATAGTCGAGAGTTAAAAAATAAATCATTTAAGAAAGTATCTACAAGGAGCCAATCAACTTACCCTTAAGATACTTTTTATCCTAATTTAAGCTATTGTATTTAGACAAATTAAATTAAGGTACCAAGATTGGCATTTTAAAATACCCTTACAAAGAGTTGTATTTGTTCTCTGTAGCTTTAGATGTTTTTAAGTTATAGGAGGAAAAAAATGAGCTTTTTACCCGATTTCGAATTCTGGTTTTGTAAATTATCTTTAACTGGAATATCGGATTTTAACAAGTCATTAACCGAAATGCAACTTGGATAAAATCTACATAATTGCAACACCGGCCCCAACAGCCCCATTTATCTAATTTTTTACTTTTTCACTTTCTCCGCTATTTCCAACTAATTAATTTCGTGCTTGTTATAATCGGACCATCGTATCAGATTTTCATTACTGTTAAATGCATTTTGTGATCCCCTTCGCACACTCAAGTCTTTTTTAACTTTTCGAAAACACGTTTAATGCAAAAAAAGAACCCATATTGGTCTTAAATTGAAATTGATGATTTAAGCAAAGAAACTCCCATTTGTATTTTAAGATGCAATTGGGTTGTCCAAAATATTCGTAGTTTGGATTAGAGAGAGTGTGGGGAATGTCACAGGTGACCTGAGAATCCAATTAGTTTTAGATAACTAAACAATTACTGGATAGAACCAAGCTTTAATATTGTGGCTTATGTTGGGCTTGGGTACAATTATGAAGTGATTTATTAATCCAATTTAAATCAGGTGGAATTCGATCCGTGAGAAGAGATTAGTGAGCCCAAGCACTGCCACTAGTAGTAAAGCCTATTAAGGGGGTACAGTATTTAAATTTTTGTTAGGATTTTTTTTTCTGAATGCACAACATTTTAAAAATATTGTGATTTAAATTGATCCGAGTAAAACTTTATGGGCGAAAGTTGTGGGTAGTTGAACATGGGTAAGTTAGCTCGTTTTGTATTCGATTTTTGGGTGTCCAAAACTTAAAAACGATCGCTGTCGAGTTTTTTTTTTTGACCATTTAAACTGACAGATAACTTGGATTTTAGGGCGAAAAGATCGCCTTATTCGAATAATCGAATAGGATTATTCTGTGACCAGTTATCGTGTACACCGCAAAACGTGTTTTTTTCAAGGTGCCGCCGAAAATTGCGTATATCTCACTCAGTTTTAAAAATTTTTGGATTCGAATTTTCCCACCTAGTGTTTAAATGTTGTATTATCACATGGTAAAATAAAATTTTAGCTGAGACTATACTTATCGCCAATAAAAATTCGTAAAAAATGACCTATTTTGCAGCGAATTAACCATACCATTGAATAAAGGGGGATAATTAAAGGGAAATGGATCTTCACTTACCCAAATGGTGGGCGATATGATCGTGCTCCTCGGACTCGCCGATGATGAAGTCCTGGTGCTGGTGGTGCAGCTGGTCCAGGTGGTGCAGCTCCCCCTCGTCGTCGCTCTCCTGGGCGGCGCAGACGGAGAGCGAGAGGGAGAGGGAGAGGCAGAGGAGCGAGGCTGCGGCGGCGGTGGCAGCGGCAGCAATTAGACGTGGGGATATTTCCGGCATTTTCCGCTTCCGCTGCAGCTTCCCCGCGCCCCTTCTGTTCTGGCGACGCGCGGCAATCGTCGCTGCATCCGCTGTCAGCGGAAATATATTAATTTTCATTTTTTATTCGCTAGCGCCGTTCCGGGCTTTTCCCCTTTCGCTCGTCCCCCCGTAGTTGTATGCCCTCTAATTTCTCCGGCACTTGGCTGCTTCGGTTGGGATCTGACTCTGGCCGTTGCTTCACTTTCGATATTCTGTAGCCCTCAAGTATTTATGCACATTGTTTTGCTCAGCTCTGGGCCGAGAGGCTGGAAAACATTTCCAATGCATAACTATAGACGGTGAACCAGAGTTCGAATCCCCTGCGGAGGTTTTTCACTGAAATTGGTAGGACGAAAAAACGCACATTCAGTGTATGTAAACTATATATAGGAAATAAGTGGCATGCTTTTAATTTTCCAAAGCAGTTTTTATAGCCAGTTTTCACCCTGCTCCCCTTCACCTGTGCTGCAGTAATTGTTTGTCATTTTATTATTAAATAGAATTCATTATTAATGCACACACACTCCCTGCTGTCGCAATTCATTATGCAGGATTGTATGTTATGCGAAATGGAAAATGGAAAAAAAGGTGAGGAAAGGAGCGTGTTTAAAAGGCAGTATTGTAAGAAAACAAATATTTTTTAGCGTAAAAGCTTTAATAAACACGAAAAAGAAAGTTGCTATATAATAGCCCACAGTATTGAACCTAAAAAATCTCATCAAAAAGAGGTTTTTCTTTTGGTAGCTCAAACTAATTTAAAAAATCCAGAGAGCTGAAAAAAATCGGGACACAACTGTTTTGAAAGTTTAAAAACAGTACATAAATATAGCATTTGTATTCCCTTTCTGCAAAGTGCATTATTTCACTTAAAGGTTGGCAACGCATTAAAGCGCACATTTCAGTGTTTCTTAATCTATACATAGTAATATCACGATTAAAGAATTACGGTGTTACTTTTATAAAAATCAGACCCCTATATCATATATATCTGCCAAAGGAACGATCAAAAAATTATTAATAAATATATAACCCGAACTAGATTCATTGTGTTTAGCATCGCAATTGAAATTTAAAATAGTATAGGGTAAATAAACTTCGTCTTGTTTCCTTTCTTGTCTTATTTCTAACCCAGTTAAAATTAGATCGGATAAAATTCATTCATTCATTCATTAAAATACAACAATCTACACGTAATACCACAAAATAACAAGAAAGGAAAGCTAACTTCGGGCGGAGCCGAAGTTGATATACCCTTGCAGAATATTCTATAAATTATATTCTCCAAAATTATTCATATGATGCATTCTTAATACTTAAAAAAAGTCCCAACTTCCTAACTTTAAAAACAACAAAGTTATGTCATTTCCAATCGTTCAGTTATATGGCAGCTATAAGATATAGTCGGCCGATCCTTATGAAATATGGTAGGTCGGATTGATTAACCAAATATAAAATCCATAGAAGATCCCAGCCTCCTAACTTTACAAACACCAATGTTATGGCATTTCCGATCAATCAGTTATATGGCAGCTATAAGATATAGTCGGCCGATCCTTATGAAATTTGGTAGGTCGGATTGATTAACCAAATATAAAATCCATAGAAGATCCCAGCCTCCTAACTTTACAAACACCAATGTTATGGCATTTCCGATCAATCAGTTATATGGCAGCTATAGGATATAGTCGTCCGATCCTTATGAAATTTGGGAGGTCGGATTTATTAGCCAAAAATAAAACCAATAGAAAATCCCAACTTCCTAACTTTAAAAACACCAAAGATATGGCATTTCCGATCGTTCAGTTATATGGCAGCTATATGATATAGTGGCCCGATCCGGCTCGTTCCGACTTATATACTACCTGCAATAGAAAGACAACTTTTGGGAAAGTTTCAAGCAGATAGCTTTAAAACTGAGGGACTAGTTTGCGTAGAAACGGACGGACAGACGGACAGACGGACAGACGGACAGACGGACAGACGGACGGACAGACGGACGGACAGACGGACAGACGGACATGGCTAGATCGACTCTCCTGGTGATGCTGATCAAGAATATATATACTTTATAGGGTCGGAAATGTCTCCTTCACTGCGTTGCAAACTTTTGACTGAAATTATAATACCCTCTGCAAGGGTATAAAAATAGAGTTATTTGAAATTATAAGAAATAGATTCCATGAGTAAAATGCGAGTTTTTAAATATGTATCCCAATTACCATGAGCTCCTTTAGATGTATGTAGGTTAAAATAAACACAAAATGAACATAAATAAAAAACGAAGCTTTTATAGGTGGACAAAATCGCACTTTATTTTTGCATATTAACATAAATATCCACCAAAACCGCCAACGTTTTTAAATGTTTTTTTAAAACACAGTTTTTGCTTAAGAAAAACATATAAGCACACGGCCTGATTTTTTTTATTTTAAATGAGTAAAGCTGCATAAACAAGGATACACGGAATTATTATTTTAAAATTGATAAACCAACAAGAAAGGAAGCAAAGTTCGGCAAGCCAAAGTTTATCTACCCTTGCAGTTATTACAAATCGACTACATTTCGATTTCTATACTACTAAAAACAATGAAGCTATGTCGATTTTGAGCTGCATTTTGCCATCGTTTCTATGGCAGCTATATGATATTGTTGTCCGCTTTTGATAAAACTGAAAACGTAATACTCATATAGTATATAATTACTATATTTCAAAAAAATATTTTGATAAATAGAAAAACAGCAAAATAGACTAAAAAAAATTTTTTTTTTATAATTTTTTTTTTTTATGGGAGCTATTTGATATAGATTTCCGGCTCGTTCTGACATAATTATATACTACCTAGAAAGACAACTTTCGTAAAAGTTTTACAACTGACAAGTTTGCGTAGAAACGGGCGGACGGACAGACGCACGGACGGACAAACGGACATGGCTAGATCGTCTCTCCTGGTGATGCTGATCAAGAATAAAGTATATAACTTTATAGTGTCGGAAATGTATCCTTCACTGCGTTGCAAACTTTTGACTGAAATTATAATACTCTCTGCAAGGATATAAAAACAAACGAAAGACAGAAATCCTAGTTCTTAAAATAGCTGTATGCATTGAGAAAATAAAAATTAAGCACTCCATTGACTGTTAATGGTATTCATATAATATTCTATAAATACCCGTTATTCAAATATATGCAGTGACGTCATTATTAACACTTTATCTGTCCTATAACTTCTAAGGTACGATTTGTAGTGTGTCGATAGATATTGACCGAATAAGCTGTTGTGTTAAAAACATTTTGAAATAAACTTGCGATGCTCCTAGCTCTTATATATAAGAAAATATAAATCTTTTCTTGGATTTAGAAAAAATAAAGTTTTATGGCGAATTTCTAAAATTTAGGGTTAATTTAGCTATGAGTGTAGTTTTTGAGATCACGACGTTCATACGGACGGACATAAATTTTTGAAATACACCTTCTCTTAGAAATGAACGATATTTGCATATTGAATTCACCAGGTTAGTGCTGACGAAGTTATGTATTTGCATAAGCGATTTCAAAAGTACCTATTGAAAATAGCTAGAAAAGTAAAATATTTTTATTTGTTGACATGCTGACATTTTCACTGGCAGCAATCTCGACTTAGGTCGCGAGTCAAAGAGGTCCTTGAAATACGTAAATGCTCTACGCAATTGAGGCAATTGCAATCCAACGAGGCGTATGGGTAACTTGACATGCTTCAATTGGCACCACATAAGCAGAGTGCAACATTTTCTAACCGCAATTCGTTTTCGGTTACATATTTTCCACCTCCCCTTCATTCCCCCTTCGCTGCCTCTTCTATACATATCATTTAATACATTTTGTATGCGAAGGCCGTAGCTTCTTTAATTGCTGGGAGCGGCAAATATTAGAAAACTCGAGCAGAGCGCACCCACACACACACACACAGAGAAGGGGGAAAACCAGTTGGCAGAAGACGCACAAGATATGGCCAGGCCAATGTGGAATCTGAACAAACTTGAAAACAAAAGTCAAGCGCAACGCAACGGAAAGCGGCAGAAAGGCATTTAAACTTTTGGACAAGTTTAATTTCCCGTCGAGTGTGGCCCACAGTAAGTGCCAGAGATGGCATAGGACAGATACCGGGAGGGGGAGTGGAAGGGTTGGGGCTTTCTCGCTTATGAAATTGAAAGCACTTTCCATCTTTGAAGAAATTGAGTGCTGACAATCAACTAATTGCGGTCAGATCCCTGGCCATGATTTCCACGGCAGCCGACCTCACTTTTTATCGATGGGTCGGTCGGAAAAGGGTCTGCCATTTCCGTTATTAATATTACTATTATCTGCTTAATGTCGCCACCGTTGATCATCCTTGTCCACTGCCCATTCGCTGTTTCAGTTGACCAGTGGAAATTAATGAAAAATATTGCCAGGCTGAATTCTGTTATTATTATTCTTTTCCAGGGGTTTTGTCACCTCTGTGTGGCCTTTGGCCATTTTCGGCATTGTTCGGCGGGATTGTCCGTTCCCTGTGTTCGCTGGAAAAATCATAAAGATAGCGGTCACAAAAAGCGGGTGCCAAGGGTGAAAGAGTAAAGGAATGGGCTGCATTAAAGAGATAACAAGAGTGTGCGGAAAATTGGACGAAACGTGAAAAATGGCTGTTTATTTAATAAATTGGCTAAAATGGTTGACATGCAGCTTAACAACCGAATCTCATGAACCACACCTAGAAAATTCGGGAACTAATAAGCCAAAATGGGCTAAAATTTTGATGAAATGGATTGGAACAGAATGGCAAAATGTGGACTAAGTCTTATTTGTTTAGAGTAACAGAACTTCTTTTTATACCTATTATTTATATATTTTTTTTATTTATAAGTCCATTCCTTTGTTCATTTGATTTTATGTTAATTTATTAAATTTTTGATTAAAACAAATGGGATACTTTTTAAATATTTTTATTTTTTTTGATAATTAAAAAGGTTTTTTAAAGTATGTGCTAACGAATTGTATTGAATTGAAGATGAGGCTCATCTTTCACCGGCGCACTAATTGACACATTGCATTGGCTGCAAGCATTAAATTATGATTGAAGAAGAATCCCAAGCGAATGTACTCAAGTCGCGATTTAGCATCGCATTACGTCAGGCCATTGTTCCGTTCATCGTCCGTTATCTTTGATAAACAGCTTAGAGACCCGGGACCCACTGCCGCTCCCAAGGCAAATCTGCCCGGCCAAGTCCACCAACGGCATAATGATAAATAGCCGAGAAAAGAAAGAACACGGAGTGCCCCAGCAATCTTGGCCAAGCAAAAAGTCAAGACAATTGACACC